TACTCATCTTGCTATTTTTTAAGAATTAAATATCACAGTGCTGCCCACACCAGCTGATCAAAAACCTGGGTATACTGCAATCATTGGTGACTGCAGAAACCCTATCAGGCCCCAGCAGTCGCTGAGATCTGAGTTTATCCCCACACTTCCAGGTCACAGGAATGATACCTGCTATTGTGGCCCCTATCTGGGAACCACAAAGTCATCCCATGGATTACACTGCTGGGAGGGTACATGTGATGGATTCATCCATGAATATTCATGACTAGTGAATATTTAACAGCCACTGACAGAAAGCTTCTTGGGGACCCATCCAGCTGATAAGCGGCAATTCATTCCATGCTTGTTGAGCCCTGGCCAAGTGTCAGGTAGAAGACACGTCCACAGCAGCCGCAAACAGCAAAGCTGGAGTCAGCTAGGCTCTCCTTCCATTCCTTGCTAGCTGTGGCATCATGGACAACATAGTCTGGCTCTTTATGCTTCAGCTTCATCATCTACAAACTGGAGATAATGGTAGACTTACCTCAAAGGCTTGATGGGCTTAACTTAGTACAGCATGAACACCCAATGAATGTCATGTCCTCCAGAGACACTCCCCTTAGTACGCTCCTCAAACTACATCAGATTTCTTCTTTGTACCCGGCAAGCTTTCCTTCATAGTACTTGCCAGTTTCTAACTATAGCTACTTTCCAGCTTGATGATCTGATTAACAGCTCTCTCTCCCCCACAGGACTGTAAAATTATCATAAAGGCAGAGATTCTGTCTGATTTGTCTAATATACCCAATACCCAGAACAGCAGCACGTAATAGGTGCTCAATAAATATTTGCTAAGCTAATAAACTAGGTTGGCAAATTCACAAAATAATACAAAGATGAACCAGCCCTCATCAAGGAGTTCCCAGGCCACTGATGCAGTCCTCAACTCTAGTTGCATTTAGAGTCACCTGGGGAGTAATACTCTTGTAATCCCACTACTAGACCCTACTCTGGAGCTACTCTTGGAGTGTGAGGGCTCGGGGAATCCCTGTTTTTGTATTCTAAGAGCTCTTCAGGTGATTTTATTTTATTACTTTATTTTTAGGTTGCATGGCACAGGTTGTGGGATCTTAGTTCCCCGACCAGGGACTGAACCTGCGCCCTTGGCAGTGAAAGTGTGGAGTGTAACCACTGGACCACCAGGGAATTCCCTCTTCAGATGATTTTAATGAAAAGCCAGGATTGAGACTCACTGGTCTAATGCAAGAGAGACAGGCTAACAATTACAATACAATGGGATGTGTGCTCTACAGCCACAGAACTTCCTGTGATGATGGAGATACCCTGTGTCTGCACCCCTCAATGCTGTAGCCACAGTCACACATGACTGAGGACTCAAAATGTGGCTACTGAGATGGAGGGCCTGAACTTTAAATTTTATTTTAATTAATTTAAATTTAAAAAGCCATGTGTGACTGGCTAGTGCAGACCTCGGGCAAAGTACACACAACAACCCTGAATCCAGGTTTCAAAGGGGAAACCTTTGGGGGGGTTTCAAAGGGGAAATCTCTGGGGGGGGATTCAAAGCTCAGTCAGCTGTGCCCCCCTCACCCACCCACAAGAGAGTATCATCTGGGAGAGGAAACGGCAGCCAAACTCTGCACTCACCCCTCCAACTCTCCACCTTACATACACACAGGGACAACCTATCCCCACTGCCACATCCAGGACAGCTGGGACCAAGGAAATGCTTTAAAGAAGCACATCCGCAAGTACAAGAGCCTTTGTGTGAGCTGCTGAATGATGTGGTCATTGAGGCCAAGGCAAGAAATGTGTCTTGAGTAAGGACACTTGGAAAAGAAAGTCACATGGAGCCCCGAGCAGAGTAAATGTGGCAGCACCTCACAGCTGTAAATCAGAAGCCTCCCTTTGTTGGGCTTCCCTGGTGGTGCAGTGGTTGAGAGTCCGCCTGCCGATGCAGGGGACGCGGGTTCGTGCCCCGGTACGGGAAGATGCCACATGCAGCGGAGCGGCTGGGCCCGTGAGCCATGGCCGCTGAGCCTGCGCGTCCGGAGCCTGTGCTCCGCAATGGGAGAGGCTACAACAGTGAGAGGCCCGCGTACCGCAAAAAAAAAAAAAAAAATAAGTCTCCCTTTGTGACTCACAGGCAGAAACCATAACATTATGGAGAACTGACATTTATTCCTTAGGCAGACAATGGCTCATTAAGCTCTTTATAAAATCAGACTGGTCCAACATTATTTGCAGAAAGACTGAATTAATATAGAGAAAGCACCCATGCTATTGACCTACCTGCCATTTTTTCTCATCTACTATGTGTTAAGCATGTACTACGTGGCAGGCAGTGTGTCAGGGGCCTTAAATATTCCCTCATTTTGTCCATACAATACTCTGTAAATTAGATATTATTTTCTCATTTTATGGTGAGGCAATTTAAGACTCATGGAAGTCATTAAATAGTGACTTATTTATTTACTTACTTACTTATTCAGTTATTTATTTTGGCTGCACCAGGTCTTACTTGCAGCACGCGGGATCTTCGTTGCGTGCAGCATGAGGACTTCTTCCTCGACCAGGGATCGAACCTGAGCCCCCTGCATTGGGAGGGTGGGGTCTTACACACTGGATCTCCAGGGAAGTCCAGACTCATGGAAGTTAAATAATTTACTTTAACAAGTAGTGACAAAGCTAGAATTTAAACTTAGATCTATGCTACACCTAAGTTTCTTTTTTATAAAGTCTGTCTAGTATTCTACTATATAGATATACTACTGTTTATTTAACATATCCCCATTTTCTGTTTTACCAAATCACAGTCAATGCTTCAATGAACCTACTTGTATATGAAGCATAACACACACACACACACATATAGAGAAGTACATAAATCCTAAGTGTAGCATTTGATGAATTATCCAAAAATAAACTTATCTACGTAACACCCTCCAAATTAAGAAACAGAACAATACCAGCACCTCAGAAGCCCCTTGTGCCATCTTCCAGTTATTTATCCCACTCACATCCCCCATTAAGGGCTACCACCTCATGGGAGTTCATTAGAAGGAAGCTAAGACATAGGTTATAAGTTAGGTGTATAATCTAGGCCAAGACTTAAAGCACCATTTGGTCACTACATAGTCAGACAAATATCATTTATCTACCTTAATTAGAAATTAGTGTTTTATTGGATATAAAGAAATTAGAGACAGGTCTCCAGGAACCAGGGTACAAAATGTGTTAATTAGGATTACAGAGTGTCCTAAGCCTGGGGCTTTAATGAAGACAAGAGACAACTGATTCCCAGCTCTGACAAGACGAGGAGGACCAGGAAATACCCTATGATTTTATCACAAGAGTGAGTATAAATGTAAATAAAATATAAAACATATAAATGTACTGCATTTACTGAACTGCCATGAGGTGGTAGAACTTTTACAGACATTAACTACTTAAATCCCTTCAACAACCCTGTAATATCACCATCCCCATTTAATTAATTAATTAATTAATTTATGTATTTATGTATTTATGTATTTATTATTTATTTTAACATCTTTATTGGAGTATAATTGCTTTACAATGGTTAGTTTCTGCTTTATAACAAAGTGACTCAGTTTGTATATGTATACATATACATATGTTCCCATATCTCTTCCCTCTTGCGTCTCCCTCTCTCCCACCCTCCCTATCCCACCCCTCTAGGTGATCACAAAGCACCGAGCTGATCTCCCTGTGCTATGAGGCTGCTTCCCACTAGCTATCTACCTTACGTTTGGTAGTGTATATGTGTCCACGCCACTTTCTCACTTTGTCACAGCGTACCCTTCCCCCTCCCCGTATCCTCAAGTCCATTCTCTAGTAGGTCTGAATAAAGATTCCCGTCTTACCCCTAGGTTCCTCATAACCTTTTTTTTTTCTTAGATTCCATATATATGTGTTAGCATACGGTATTTGTTTTTCTCTTTCTGACTTACTTCACTCTGTATGACAGACTCTAGGTCCATCCACCTCACTACAAATAACTCAATTTCGTTTCTTTTTATGGCTGAGTAATATTCGATCCCCGTTTTAGAGAGAAGATGGAGGTTCAAAAAAGTGAAGTAACCAGCTCAAGGTCACTCTGCTGGTTAGAGGGAGAGAAAGGGTGCAAACCCACAGGCATACAACCTCAGAGCCTGCCCTTTCCATTGTACCCCGCTGCCTTCCCTTCCCAGGTGTTCTGTTACAGACAACTGATCTCTTAGAGACAGACCTGGCCTCTGGGAAAGCGAGCTGGTATTGCAATACCAATAACAAAAGACGTGAGTCAGAGACCTCGAAACTCCTTTTATGTTTGCAGGCCTCTCCCTCCCTGGGGTGCTGGAACCTACCATTTCTTGTGGTTACCTACTGTTTGTTTATCTTAATTCGGTTTATTTCTTCTTATCCACTGACAACATACTTTTCTCTCCAAGATGACAAAGTCTCTGACCAAAGCTAAAACATTTGGTGACACAGGTTACCTGGCCTGCCCTGAGCCAGATGCAAAGACTCGAGTTGGCAGGTCTGTCCAGGTCTCTCCCTTTAGCCTCGTCCCCATGTGTCCCCTAACTTTCACCCCACGCCTGTCACCAATACGGCTTTTCAAATGTGTACAGGTACACTTCCGATGGAAAAGATCCTCATGTGTTTAACTGAGGCCACCGAATTACAGTCTGACACAAAGAGAATTTTACATATCTCCTATGTCACTTGTGGCAAAATTACCTATAACTCTACTGAAGCTTTTCACTGTGTAATAAAACCCACTGCAACTAATGTTTTTCCTTCTTTTTACTTGGGAAGCAGTAACAGGTTTGGACTGACAGAAGAGACAGAAAAAAAGAGAAAAACTGAATTTCTTTGACTTACTTGTTTTTCCATTTGTATCAAGTCTTCCAGAAACTTAGCATCTAACAAATAACAGAAAAAACTGCAGACAATATACGTAATCGGTGTTATCTGTGTTGGTAAGTACTTACCTTGACCGGAATTATATATTGCTTTTACAGACTTCTTAACTTTCTGTAAGGCTGTTCTATCTTGGTCTAGAGCCTAGAAGAGAAAAATGGGGGGGAAAAGATGTTGGAAAACTTGGTAAGTTAAAAAAAAAAAAAAAAAAAGGAACTAAAGAAAAAAAATCTCATTCATAACTGCATTTGTTGTGCTGAGCACTGCAGCAACAGCAAACTGGTATATTTATCAACAACGAACCCCTTCAGAGACACGAAGTGCCCAGGATTTGAGTAGTTATATTTTGGGGATAAATACGGTCATTCCACAAGCTCAACATTGGGTGAAATGGATAAGCTGGCAGTCAGTCGGTAACCGTGCTAAGCTATGCGCAGGAAAGAGAATATAAGATACCTAAGATCTGATTCTTTCACTCGGAAGAGTTCACAACCTGGGAAGGGAGAAAGGCCAACATATGACATGGATGACACCTTCCCAGGGAACAAAACACATCTTATCACCTAATGGTAATTTCAGCCAGAAAGAAAACATTTAAGGGAGTGTGATAAGCAAGAGTGACCCTGAAGAGCTTCTCAAGCTTTTAAACTTGAGGATTCCTTTTAGCTAAAAAAAAAAAAATTTTTAATGACATAATGCCGCGTGTATTTAAAAAATTCTGTTTATTAAAAAAGCACAACATGAGAAATGCTACCATGATGCAAGTAACGCTTGTACATGACTTCTTAGGTGATGAATGAACACATCTCCAGTGATCTACAAGGCAGGGGGGAGGGGGCTGTTTCTCGGGGGCTGTCACTCCTGATTCTTGACCCAGGTGCTGGATACACAACTGGGTTTCGCTTGTGAAAATTCATCAAACCACGCACATAGGATGTGTACTCTTTTGTATGTGTGTATTACACTTCAAAAACAAGTCAATGTAGACATACTCATGGCACGCTGACCTAACTTCTTAGAATAAATTCAAGCCCGTCTCTGCTTTCCCAAGGTCCACGGTCCACTCACAGTCTGGGAACCCCTGGAGGGTGGGTCAAGATTTGGAGGGCAGGAGCAATAGCAGCAATAAAAATAAACTTGTATAATAAAGTTTAAAAGCATTCAATGTGCACTCACATCCTTTACATCATCTAAACCTCAAGACTTCAGATGAGCGAATGGAAGCCCACGGAGGGTAAGTACTTGCTCTCTGCAGGGTACGGGGGGAGCTGCAGGGGGCAAGGTGATGGCAGCAGGCATCTGTTATTCCCCTTCTGCAAAACGGGCTTTCCTGCCACTCTAAACATGGGGTTCACTGGGCGCTGCCCCTTTCCTTTGGCTCCTGTTCTCTGAGCACCCATGACTGGCCAGGTGAGCAGGGCCCATGCTGGGCTCAGTCCCGCCTAGGATTTCTGAGCTTGGGAACCGGGATCATAACATGCAGCCCCTTTCTGATGATGCGAGCCTGGGGGCCACCAGGGGTTCTGTTTCCAGCTGTGTGGAAGAGTCTGGCCAGACAGGATGATGTTAACAGAGACGAAGCACCAGAAACAAGAGGTGGAGAGGGTCCTGGTGGCAACTGAGTCCTTGCTCCCAGCTGTCCCCAAGTCTATATCACTGCCAACCTTCCTGTAGACTGAGTACATGGGACAATAAATTCCTTCTGTCAGAAGCTAGTTGAAGTTGGGATTCTATAACTTGCAACCACAAGTCCTAAGTAACACAAGAACTGAAGTTTACTGAGCACTTACTATACCAGGCATAAGCTTGTAGAGAAGATGTACCAAATAGATATCTCTTTGAGTTACATCTTTACAAAAATCCTGTGGAGTAGCATCTATATTTTCCAGATAAGGAAATGTGACAGGCCTTCAATAAATATCTGTAGGAAAGGAGGGAGGGAGAGAGGGAGGGAGGGAGGGAGGGAGGGAAGTATTTACTAACTTGCTGGAAGTCACAAAGCCAGAAAGCGCTAAAATCACATTTTACACTAATGTCTCCCGAATCCCAAATCTAACGGGATGCTGGGACAAAAAGCAGCGTTTTGCAGCCTGCGGGTTAACGCTATTTCTACCTTGCCCATCACTCACTTTCCACTTCCACAACTTTTTTCACAGCCACGTCCCATCTGCACTTCTTTTCAATTAACATTTTTCTTTAAATTCATTCACATCTTTTTAAAAAATTTAAATACACTCTAAAGAGCTGGCTCACTCAACATTAATAGAAGATACCCTAAAAATGACTATGTGCCTCTATCTACATAAAATGCTCGTCTGTTCACTACCTCAAACCACCTCATCTAATGCCAGTGATACTGTATATCACATTTAAGGACACCATGTTTTATGACACAGCTCCAGAGGAAGAGACAAAGTTTGAGTAATTTCAAAGATCTGAGGTTTGTACATCAGAGGAAAGAAGGAAGACAACTAACATTTTAATAAATGCTTAGTCATAAAGGTGCTGAGATTTACACAGATTATTTCACTTAATTCTTACAAAACCCCTATGAAATAAGTACTATTACTGGATTCATTTTATAGATGAGGAAACAGAGGCTTAGCAAGTGTAACTTGCCCAGGTGGCAGAGTAGGAATTTGAACCCAGTTCTTCACAGTAAAACTCCACCTCCAAATCACTACCCAGTTCTGCATTCCAATGGTATCTGTGAAGAACTGAAACTAAAAGCAGTCTCATCTTAAGAGGGCAATATCCACGAGTTTTCAGAGGCAAATCTGTGTTAAGAAACTACAAGACATTTAGGTTGCTAGGAGACTGGGAGGGAAAGACAGTAATGCAAATAAGTGCAAATAAGCACTCATTTTAAGAGATGGGATCCAAAGGTTTATCCTTTGCTGAAC